GATAATGGCCGCCGGGTGGGCAGATGAATGCTGGGCTCAGGCCACCTTTTTCTTTACGCTTGTGTAAGGGAAAGTTTTGATAATTTGACAAAGGACAATCTGAACCTTGAGAGAGGCTGAGTTTTGTTTGCTGTCATGTGTGTAGGCCCAGCGCCATGTAGTCCTGTGTAAGCAGTTTTCCAAATGTAGAGTGGGAACCCACATTCCCCTGGCTCTCTAACTCCTGCCCAGTTGACAACAAGAGGTGCAAGTGTGGTAGCTCGTGCCCAAGGGCGAGGGCATGGGGTTGGCCCTGTCCCTCTGCGGTGGTTCTTGTGTTCCTGCCCGAGTCCTTGAGCCTGGTCTGTGGCATCACCCAGGACTCCTGGTGGCCACTTGAACTGCTTAGGCCATGGTGGCGGGGAGGGGAGAGTCTGGTAGGCAGATGGGGTGGGTGGCTGCCTAGGCCTCCAGGACAGCCAGAACCGGGCTCGTCCATGTGGCTTGGCGCATGGTTGAGGCAGCATCCCACAGATTCTGCCACCAGGGGCAACACCTTGCAGCAGAGCTCCAGTCCTGAAGAGCTGGCTGCCTGCCCCACCCCTGTTAGCTGTTCAGGCACCTGGGCACCAAGCAAGGCTCTGTCCCCTGGGCGGCGCGGCAGGCTAGCTTATGCGGCCATGGGGTCCTCTGTTTGATGCAAACATGTACCTCATATCTGAACAGCATTTGTGTTTCTGTAAATAACATGTTTTTGTGATTTTTTAAATTAGAAAATCAGTAGCGGTATTAAAGGAAACGTTAATTCAAGTGGAAAACTTACCTGCATGCCTCCGTCCTCATTCGAATGACCCGTTCTGCTCCCCTTGGCGTTTGTGTGCATCTCTTTGCAGATTTCCTCTCGCCGTGTTTTCTTCTGTCTTTAGTCCATGTTTATCCATAGAAAGCCCCAGCATCACTAAGCCCTTGCTCTCACTTCCTGTTCATTGCTGGTCTTTCACCCTTGACCTATCACGGGTGACTCTTGCGACCCCCTTCTTGCATGTAGCTGCCCATTTCTTCTTCTCCTCTTGGAGTGTTTCTTGGGTAAATTTCTGTAGGTTTCTGAGTCAGAGGCTGTAGACCTAACAAGCTCCCTCACTAGTCTGTCCTAAGAAAGCTGCCTGTGCAAGTCAGTTCTGGATATTGGGTGCCTCCAAACTGTAGTTCTGGAAGGGTCTGAAGCTTCACTTGAGTGGTGTTTTCCTAGCCCAGCAATAGTAATCATGGCTAGCCCCTCCTGTGTACACAGCACTGTTCTAGACGCTTCACTCCCATCACCTCCTTTGGTCCTCACCACAGCCTGATGAGGTGCTTCCGGTGCCCCTGTGCCTATGGATGTGGAGGTGAGGCCAGAGGTGGTCTCTTTGGCTTGATTACAGCATGTAATGACTTGACTTGTCCCCTTGTCTTCTTCCTGGACGCGCCTGCTGGAGACGAGGATGGCGCAGCCGAGCGTGTCTGCGTGCATGGGGGGCCCACTGCAGCCTGAAACCCACTGCGTGTCACTGTGAACTGGGGATGTGTTCTGTTTCCCGTGCTATGCAGTATTTTTAAAAATCTCTCTCACAGCATTGCTCTAAAAAGAGAACAGAAGGATTTGTTCTTCGTATCTCAGAACGAAGTTGTTATTTACCACCGTAGCTGCTGTGAGGAGCAGCCTGGACCTTCCTGGGGTCCGCAGTTCTGGTTGCAGGTTCACGTTCAGGCACATCTGCCTGTGCTCAGAGTGCTCGCCTGCCACCTCCCGGGCAGACCTACCTGGGGTGTTGGCAGAGCCCTTTAAGGACTTGCTCACTGCAGGGTGGAGAGGAAATTGGTCATTTCAGAACCTTGTTTTTATTTTCTTTCATGTAGCAAAAAGACGGGACCTTTGCCGCTGGAGGCTACATGCCGCCCCTGCGGTTTAAAGCCCTCACCCTCTCGGTTGTGTTTGGAACCATGGTCGGTGGAATCATGATCCCAAATGGTAAGTGGGGCTGCTGCAGCGGCTGGCCTCCTGCTGGCCTGTTCTGCCCCACGCCCCCTTGCTGCTGTTGTGCGCCCCTGCCTCAGGTCTCGGTGTTCAACCAAGACGCTCAGAATCTCACCACTGTCCTCTCTGGTCAAAAAAAGTCTAGAGACTCTTGGGCGCTTTTTTCTTTGGCTCCCTGAGAAAGGCTTGGGAGAAAACGCTGCAGCTTGATGTGACCACAAGCACGTGGGTGGAAGCTGCGATGCGGGATCCAGGCCTGATGTGTGAAGTCAGTGGATATTGAAGACGCTCCTGACTGCTGGCTCCTGATTTCGCTGACACGTCACCCAGGGAAGAGGGAAGGGCCCTGGGCAAGACTTCTGTTGTCCGATGTCCTGCTGCAGCACAGACAGAGCTCACTGTCCTCAGACATCGAGTGGGCCCCGCATGCCCTCCAGGGAGCAACCCCCAGGCCCCACACTCCAGGCTCCCAGCTTCCCCACGCAACCAGGACAGGCCCTGCTCGGTCACTCGCTGGGCAGCAGGTGGGGTGATGTAAGATGATCCAGCCCAGAAGCCCCCGCTGGCTGCCTGGACGCTCCGCGAGGAGCTGTAACAGCGTGGACCCAGCATGGGGCGGGCAGTGCTGTTAGCCTCACCTCACTGGCGAGGAAGCTGAGGTACAGAGTGGAGGGGACTTGCCTGAGGTGCCTGGCCCGACGCTGTCAGATTGGACACCCTAAGGGTCCTTGCGGGCACAGAAGGCTGTGCCCCGCTCCTCGCTGCTGTCTGGCGGCACGCGTAGATGCGCCTTAGTGGCAAGGCTTCTCACGCTGCTTGCTGGAAGCTCACCCCTCCCTGTCACTCTTGTTCCCAGTGGAGACAATCCTGGGCCTCACGGGCGCCACTATGGGAAGCCTCATCTGCTTCATCTGCCCAGCGCTGATCTACAAGAAGATCCACAAGAACTCCCTCTCTTCCCAGGTGCGTGCTGCGCAGCGCTCTCAGCCCCACTCAGGGCGGGTCTGGGTCGGGGAGAGCAGGAGGCGGTGTTCTCTGAAATTCCTGTGAACTCGTTGTGTTTCTTAGCACAAAAGGATCGTGGTCCTGTAGGTCTGAGAAACATGGGGTTAAGCCAAGGTGAGCAGCCTTGCACCGCAGGGCCGCCGAGCCGAGCTGCTGACCACGCTTATCTGAGCATTGAGTGCTGAA